TCAATTTTATTTTTAGATACTATGTTAATAAATACTTGATAGTACTTAATAATTCTTGTATGTTTTACTACATGAGAGTTGTATAATATAAATTATATATAACCATATATATTATAAAATCAAATCTATGTTATTTAAATTTTTATTGTTTACTCGATAACAATGAAAATTCTAATAAAATAAATTTTAAATCCCTTGTTTTATTCTATTTATGTTCTTATGATATATCTATCACCCTCAGTGAACTGAAAATATGAAATCTAAAACTGGCTCGTTTGAATGAAAGACCATCAAATAAAAATAATGCATTAAAGCTTTGTAATCCAGTGAATTTTCAAATAATAAAAATATTCACATGTTATTAAAAAGTATATATTCACTGTGAGTATAAACAGCTACTCCAGAAAGATTGTTTTCAAATTTAAAAAGGTTAAAAACTTATTTAAAAAATCTGAAATACTATAAAAGAAATAAGTCATTGGAATCCATACATATATACTTAATTTTAAACAAAGAATTAATAAATAATTATGTACATGGACAGAATAAATGTATTGACTATATTTCATTATAGTCATTTTACTACGGTATGCATAATACATATACCTATCTCCTAAAAAAATCATTGACAAGTTGAAGAAAAAACTCAGAAAATCAGATATTGTTTTACATGAAAAAAAATCTTTGAATACATTATACAACATATATTTTGAAATATATATTTTTGAATGTATTCTCTCCCTCGTCTGTTAAAAATATCTGTGTTCATAAATGGCCTATACTTTATAAACACAATTTTTAATTTATAAAGACATTTTGTTATATTTTAAACTTTAAAAACACGTCCTAATTAAAATATTGAACTATTATATAAGCCATAATAAACTTATTAAACAATAAATATAATCAATCTAATATTAAGTGTTTAGTTGCTTACCTATATACAATTAAATACTTGTAAATTAATATAGTTATTAAATAGAGGTAGGCTCTAAATTATTTAATTAATTAATCAAAATTGATTACTTAAGTTATAAATAAACAATGTGTGGACTGTGTATAATAATATAGCCTTTGATGAGTACATCTGTATTGATTTTAGTTAGGTATAATATATATTAATAAATACATATTAAACACGTCGATATTAATCAATATATAAATATATGTTTATTGTGTAATGTATATATATAGGTAGTAGTTGGTAATATGCCGAAGTTGGTTGGTACCTTTGTTAATTATTATTACTTATTATATAATTGTATTTCTTCTCTGATCAATATACTTTGATGTACTTACCAATACCATTTAGTTTTCTACACATAACTGACATAACTACGAGTGATTCGCTTTTTTTTTTTTACTTGATAAACTTATATTTTTACTTATAATTTATAAATTGGAGTAATCTATAGTTATCCATATAGACTATAGCCAGAAATAATTGTTATTATTTTAGAAGAAGACAGTAATTTAAATTATAATACTCATCTTAAGGACCTATTGGCTATTAATATTATAACAATATTGATTATTAGTTATTTATTATACATAATAATAATAATAATAAATAATAATATACACTCCAAATTCCAAATATTATTTGATAATTATGATAATAAACACATAAATAGATATCACGTAAATAATTCATTATGTATTCAGTGTTATTTGTTTGTGTGAGTAGTGAATTAATAGGTATATTATGTTTGTGTAGGTACCAGATATTATGGTAAATTTTTGTAAACACATCCAGAAAATACAAGATTTAATGTAAATAGTAAGAGGGGATCTAATATAATATGTATCGTTACTCGTTAGGTATGTAGTTTGAGTAGTTCAGTCAGCAACTTTTTCGTACAAATTATGAAAATTTAAAATAAATAAATCATAACAAATTAAAAATAAGATTGCTAGGTTGGCACATTTTTTATTCTAGTTTAACTAAGAACTTTTTAACATTTTTTATTTTTATTATTAATTTACGTATACATTATAAAAATTTGATGTGGGTAAAAAATGTTGTAGACAAAAAGGTAAAAAATATAATTGTAGGTAACAACATTGTATTAAATATGTTTTTTTTATTCAGCTGGTCACACTGACAACTTGATCTTCTAATAATTTTACGTACCATTTAATTTATTATTTTATATAATATATATACTGCTACTACTGCATACAATTTAACTTTGTAGCCACTTGCCGCTGGCCTTGTTAAATACAATTTTTTTTTCTTTTAAATGTGTTCATATTAAAATAATTTTATATTATACAATACTTAAAATTAACTAACTGAATTGAAGAGTTTTGAGGTAATTTATTATTTTTGCATACAATGTATTTTAATTTAATTTAATTAAAAAATAATTATAAGTAGCTTAGTATCACGATTAAAAATAAACAAATTAATTTTGAAATGTAGTAGAGTGACTAGAATACTAATAAATATACCGGTTATTTATAGTATCATGCCATAAATTATATTATACATTTATACCTATGAAATATGAAATATTATAATTTATAACAGTTTAAGATAAATAGACCAAATAAATTCGATAAATCGAAAAATATATCACGAGGAAGATAACGATATATTCCTCCATGGTTAATAGTATACTATTTAATATTTATATAACTACTTAAATAATTACTAATAAAAAAAGGATATATATTTATAATTTAAAAATATATATACATTCATCAGAAAATAATATAGCTAGAGATTCAAAATTGGTGACGTCACTATTTATGATACCTACCTATATCTACCTCCAAGGCAATGACTCAATTATTATTATTTGTTAAGATGCTGTGTGAGAAAATTACTAAATAAATTATGCAATAAATACGATTTAGTTATTATGTAGGTACCTAATTGTATTAAAAATATTTCATTAAATTATCAAATTATCAAAGTAAAAGAATATTCAACCACTACTATAACACTGCAGCAAGTTTATGGTTTTTTTTTTTTTTAATATATTTTTTAGGTTGTACTTTTATATAATCATAATATGCTTTTATAGTAAACGTATTTACTACCTATCATGTAAATCATTTATTAATTAATAATTATTAGTTTTCAATTAGGTAATGCCTCTTAAAATAATCAAAATATCATATATACCTATAATACATCATAAATAAAAAGGAATATTTGGTAGATATTTGTACGAAAATATAAATTACTATACTTGTAATTATAATATTAATTTGTGGTTGCCTATATTTAAATTAAACGAAAATATTTTTACGTGTTCATAAATATATAAGTTCAAAAAAGTAGTAAATATTATGATAACAAATAATAAAAGTAATTTTTAGTTTTATATTTATAATTAATATACCAAATAGTAAATACTTGAATAAAATTCCTATAGGTACCTATTAATAAATGTATTTATTTATTTGTATTATATCAACATAAATTAGGTATCAGTTATTAGGTACCTAGTAGTTAGTAAATATACATACATAAAACTTACTATTTTTACTATATCCAATTTAAATAAAAAGTAAAAGAAACCTTTTTTTAGTTTATTTAGCTTTTATTAATTTATATTTATATTAAGAATATAAATATAAGTAGTTATAATATATCTATCGTCTATAACAAAATTAGGTACAAATAGGTATCTATCCTATCTCTTTGTAAAATTGAATTATATAAATAAATCATAATAAATCGTATACTTAAAGATGCCTGTATATAAATATAATGAAATTAGGTATATTTTCTCTATTATTCACATTACCTACTTATGTAATATAATTTAGGTATAATATATTTTTTTAAGTAATAAAAATGACTAATATTTATTTTAAATAAAATAACTTTTACTTATATGTAAATATTGAAAGACTTATTACATAATAATTGAATTTCAATTAAGTCAATTAAAATAAATCCCAAATTAGGTTATTGATCTTATTATTCGAGTACCTCTAATGACTAATATAAAAATTACTTAAAATTAATTACTTCGTACACAGCGATTTTTATAGCTATTTTATAATATATTATAAACATATTATTATATATAGTGATAAATGTCTTATAATCAAAATTCATAATATAAAAAAAATAGGTAGATACATGTTAGCATTGGTTTAAATATTCATAGAGTTTTATAATTTTTAAAGTAATCAATTAATTTAAATAATAATATAAATGTATAAACAAAGCAAATACGAATTAAATAATTTTTTTTATGTTATCATGATAATTAGATATACGTTTAGTCACCATTTATTGTTAAAATTAAGTACATCGCATATTTGGGGCCAACATTGAACAAAGAGAGCAGCAAGCCAGCAACTATTTTCTTCTGATAATATTTTATATACATATATCAAGTAGATACCTATTATTTTTTATGTAAGGAAATTATTCCGCAGGAATAAATAATTTCATAAACATCTCTAAGAAATTTATTGAATCTTATAACGGTCACACTGTTTGCATGATCTTAGGTATTGGGGTAGTATATTTCATTATTTGGTTAATCGATGTTGTTACATTTTGTCAAATAAATCGATAATATTATTATTTTTACTTTTGCAAGTTTTTAATTTTAATATTTTATAATAAAAATTTATCAAATTAGTATAAACCATAACATTTATTTCAATTTTATATTTCGTATGAACATTTTTAAACTTAAATATTTAATAATTTTACTGGAGCTGAAGTAAACTAAACGTAATAATTAACTAATTTAATGAACAATTTATTATCGTAAAATGTAGGATACATCATAGTGATTGTTTATTATCGATATTTTACGTAATTCGATTGTCTACTGTCTAATGCGGAGAGCCAGTTGTAGGCTGTAGGCCTGAACAGTGTTACTGTTTTGCTCTACCATTTTCTAACTTTCATTTTTATTTTATTTTTTAAATGTCTTTGCCAATTTTAGTGCATTACTATTTATTTTAAACAAATCTAAAAATGCCATCTTAATTATCTAAAATAGTTACCGAGTATAATTTAAATTTAATGTTCAATTCACTGTGAGTAACATTTTTACAACTAGTTTCATGAAATTATTAATCTTATTATTATATACCAAATTATTTATACATTTTTTTTAAATATATTTTTATATAATATATATATATGTGTATATATATATAGTAAAATGTATAAGTTAATGACAAATAATTATTTTTGTTTATAATCATATTGCCTATCTAATTGTTTCACGCTTTACTAAATTGCATTTTATAATATTTTAGTCAGAAAAGTTAAAAATGAATACTTTTTATTAATATTTAAATATAATATATATGTTGATATTATTTTAGTTGATTGTTTATTAATTACTATAACTACCCGATTAATAAAATAATATTTTTAATATTAACTAAAAATTATTTTAAAAGTTAAATAATGCGGCAATATTTGGATACTTTATTATATTTTAGTTATTTTGATAAAAAAGGTATTTTAGTTAAATTTTAAATTCACATTGTACAAAGTTAAATATTTTAATTATTAAAAGAACAATTGTGATAAACTTATAATTAACAATTGAATTGTTGACTTATTTAACTATTATTTTAAGTATTTTTGAGACTTGAGTGTTTCAATCTTTAGCCTATTAGCTATTATTATTAATTAAATAATTAATTTTTTTTTTAGTTTTAAAATGACTGAAACAGATTTGAAAAAAATTCCATTTTTTAAATTATTAAATCTTGAAGCTGTTACTCCAGTGAATGATTCATCCAAGGTAATTACGATTTTTTTTTATCTTTCTTTAAGTAGATAATTCATAGTATTTTAAGTGTTATTATTCTGTAGAAGAAACTATGAGTTAGCATATTAAAGATTAATAAATTATGTTGAGAAAATTTATTTATGAACCCACTTACTTTTATAATAAACATCAAAATGTAATAAATGAAATTATTATACATTTTGCATAATTAATTTAGAATTTGTGCACATTTATTGCATTTATAAAATTTTACTAGTATTTAATCATTTAATCATAATTAAATAAACAGAATATATTAGTTGATCTATCTTCTTACTGGTACCTATCACTTGTTTTTAAAAATAAAATTTAATCTCTTGATTAAAATGTATACTTAATTTAATTATCAAATTATAATCTTCTATTCTTTTATGAAAACAATTGTTTAGGGTATTTTCAGTTATATGACTGCATTAAGGTTTGATCAATTAGAAATATCATTAGTGACATACTTATTTCTTAACTAGATCACTAATGTTTGTGTAAATACATAATTTTATAGAATGCAGGCTCTGGTTTAAAGTGAGCACATACATAAAATAAAAGTATTTTTATATTTTTTTTTGTATATATAGTTTTTTAAATAAGTAATAGTATTTACATAGTTCTTATTTTTATATTATCTATTCAAAGACGTATTGACAATAATTGTTTTCTGAGTGAAATATGTTTAATTTGTCATAAAATATATTAGAAATAAATACAATAAAATAGGTAAAAGATTTTTATACACTGTACAATCTATTGTGCTTGTTGCATGAAAATGTTGAATAAAAACTTATTGTTAAATATTCCATGTTTCTTAATACATATTTTGGCAAAAATAACATTAACCTATATTTACATATTTAAACTTTTTTTTTTTCATCCATGTTTAAAATTCATGTCCTAGTAATAACCAATGTTTATTAATTTGTTTAGAAAAAATAATATATTGATTATTTTGCTTTTATTTATTATCAATGCTTTTCATCATTAATATATTATATATTTATTTATCACAATTAATTCTTTACTGATTTTATGAAAAATAAATCAATTTATTAAAGTTTTTTAAATTTTAAACAGTTCAATAATTTTAATTTTATTTTCTGGATCTGAATTTTTCATAACTTTGATTTACAAATAAACATTGAATAAATATATTACTATTTATAAAATGTTCAAGTTTTGGTAAATTGTGAAATAGAGTACCTAGTTGGGATGGCCTTTAAAACCATAATGTCACACAATCAATCCTATCATAACCTATCAACTGTTCGTGTTTTTCAATCTTGGTCTTCTATTCAGTTATTCTATACCTATTTTAAATAAAGTCTTTAAATTTTTTTCCATAATTATGTGAAAAATGGGTTGGGACTTTGGCCATTTGTGTTTAGATCATTGTAATCTTCAACTCTTGACTATGTCTTATATGGTTAGTTTCTAGAAGAGTCCCTTTAACTTAATATTTTTGTTTCAAAAACTATCAGCTTACATTCCTCAATTTCCTCATCTCCATGTCATAACTAATTACTAGATGTATCTGATAATATATAATTGTTTCTTAATTTCTTTCAGTATGGACTGTTATGTATTATTATCTTTATGTCTATAGAAGCATTTGTTTCCAGAAAAAAATAAGTTATTTCTTAAACAACTTTATTTTTTTTTTATCCATATCAAATCTAGGGATGAAATTATTTCCATACTGTCTTATCTTTCAGTGACCATTTATAACGCTATGCTTTCATTTACCTCTAGACCTAAATTTTATAGTTTATAATTATTGAACTATTGGTTCAAAATTTATTTATTAGCACTTTTGGAATATAAAATTTGTTGCCTATTGTTAAAAAAAAAAAATTGTTATAGATAAAATTCTAAGGTATATTGACTATACATTCTTTAATATCTAAACATAATTATAGTAAACTCTTGTTAATCCGGTTTTGCATTAATGTAATACATTCAATAATTTGTCTATATTTTTGGCATAAATGACTACCAGAAAAAAAGCATCATTCCAAATATAAACAAAAAAAAAAAATGATATTTTTTTAGACCTGAGATTATTTTAATACAGTTATAAGCTAGTATGTATGTATTATTTATATGTTTTATAAAATAAATTAAGATTTTTCTATAAATAAAAAATGCTTTTTTATGTGAACCTCCAATAATAGAATCTATATTGCTCTAGTATCTACTGGATTACAAGAGTCTACTGTATTTATAATAATTTATTTTATAAATTTTTAAATGTAATAACAATTATTTTCTGGAATATACATATTATATTTAGTTTATTAATGTGTTTATATACCCTTACATATTTTTTTTCAGATTTACAAAAATCACTTATTAGTTTTACCAGGCCATAAAACCGATCTCATGTACAAAAACAACAGTATAAAAACTGGATATGAAAATTTTTGTATTAAAAAAGGCACTTTAAAATTGTTTCCATTTAAAGATTTTGATTTTATTGGTAAACATGTTGTTTGTCAAAAATGTTGTCAAAAGTTTGCTTCAAAATTGTCTTATAAAGCACATGTTGGAACTGGTATTTGTGTTAGAACTTATAATGGACCAAATCTTATCTATCTTAAATACAAAAATAGAAATTATAGGCAAGTTCGGAAAAAAAATAAAAGAAAGTTTGAAGAAGACTTTCATGGTCATGATATAAAAAAAAATTTATTAAATCCTGAAATGTTGAATACCTTACAGACTCGTAATAAATGCTATTCTGACATAACACATCAACGAAATAAAGTTAAAGAAAAATCAATTAATGATTCCGATAAAAATAATGATGAGCCCTCTGTGAAAAAACCAAGAGGAAGACCTAGAAAGAACATTGTTAATGATGATAATGAGCTTAAAAAACGAGGCAGACCAAAGAAGTTTGATGCAGCCGCAGTTGATAGCTCAAGCCAAAATGATAACAGCTCAAGTAGTAACATGGAAATGGATGAGTCTGAAGAACCAAAAAAATATAGTTATTGTAGGGCTGATGATGCATTCAATAATAATATTAATGATCATGGCAAATTAAAATCATTGTCTTTGAAAATGAAAATTCTATCAAAAAAATTCTGGAAAATTTTTAAAAATGAGTGTAAACCGAAAGATGTAGATATTAATGAATATCAATATCCTACTAAACACAAAACCCAGTGTAATGAAGAAAAAAAAGGTGATTTACAGGCTGAAGAAAAAGAAATTTTTCTTAAAATTGAAGAACTAGAAAATGATATTAAGTTACTTTCTAAACAGTTTCAGGGTAAGAATGAATATTCAAGTAATGATGAATTAAAATTAATGCTGACAAAAATTAGTGATATGCGTAATGAAATTAAACAATGTAAACTGAAGAAGACTGATGTGAAAGAATCAATACCAGATGAAGGCAAAGAAAATATTCAACATACTCTTAAAAAGAAAGAAAATGAAGAAACTGATATTGAAATGGATAGTATAGATTTTGATAAAAATGAAAAATGTGTAGGATTATGGTTAACTAATAGTAATACTGTTTCGTCCACTAAAACCATAAAAATGAATGATGGTTGTAAATCCATTAATTGTACAAATGTAGATAATTTAAAAAAAGAATCCACAAGTCAGGACAGTTTTGGAGATAATTTAAAAACATTAAATGTAGATAAAACTCCAAATATTACCAGTTCAGTTAACCATTTAAATGATCTTGGTATAAATTATATCTATAACCCAATATTGAACTGTAGAAATTGTAGTAAAAATTTCACTTCTATCGCTGAATGGAAACTACATCGTTCTGAACATTTAGTTAAGTTAAATAAAAGTTTTTTATGTAAGATTTGTGGACTCAAATTCAAAATGTATAAAAATTTTACAAAACACGTTAATATTCATAAAAAAACAGAACAAAAAAAATTGTATTATGATAAAAAAAATGTCAAAAACTTAATATGTAAAATATGTAATAGACAGTATAATTACCTTAGATCATATTATGCCCACATTAAAACCCATATTGATGAATAATCTTTTTTTTTTTTTTTTAATTTCCTATATATACATTTTTTATTGTATAGTATATTTTCTTAAACCACTATAGTTGTTTACCATATTTAAATTGAATTATTTTTGTATTTTATGGTTTAATTAAAATATTCTTTGTATTTAAATTACTATGAGTTTTGGTATCTTTTAAAAATAAAATATTTTTTTATAATATTTGAATTATATTATGTATATTTTAATTATAGTTAATTTAGTTTAAAAAATTAATAAAAGTAAAAACAATGATAAAGTATATAAATTGTTGGTAATATTTAACTTTTTTAGTCTAAGATATCGAAACCATTATGTTTATTTTGTTTATTATGTAGGTACAGTGGTGTGCTGAAGTAGACTTTTTTGAGGCAATTGCCTCAAAACCAAAATTAGTAGATTGGTTGATGATTACCGAGCAATGGATATAGTATGACAAAAAGGTTTTAATAATAATATTTATACTATCATGTAAAAACAAAAAAATTGATAACAAATTTTCACAATGAGCAGTTCTATAGTTTTTTAATTAAATGATCAGTTAGTGATGGTCGACCTCTTGACACTGAATAACTGCAGCTGTTCCATCTAATGGTCAACTATATCTATATGTTGTAGTGAAAAAATATATTTATATTATACCTAGAAATGCTTTATATTTACTACAATATATATATATATATACATAAATATTCAATTAATTATACTAAACACTTTTTGGATAGCTGAGTGATTTGAAATTCTCAACTTTGAAAATAGGAAATTTAATTTATTTATACATTTTTTTATTATTATTATTCTAAATTGATGTGGAAAATGTATTTACTATAGACATAATTTATTTTCCAAACATTATCTGTTTTTTAAGTCATTTTAGAGATCACTTTATTATAAACTCTGATTGATACCTATGATTAATAGCTCTATACACCATTTATATGAATTAATATCCTATTTCTGCATTCTGACTAGAATTAGCAGAATTTACCTATTTTATTTTTTAAATTTGTGAAATTGTATAACACATTTAAATAGGTAGGTACATTATGTATAGAGTGAATGTGAAATTTTTACTATATAATTGTATGGACAAAATGTATTAAATAAATTAAGAGATCACAAAATATATTTTTCATGCCAATTTGAAAAGGAGGTACTTAAACACCTAATATTTTTTTAGAAGTGTTAAAATATATTTATTTCCTCAAATCCACCAATAAATGAAAAAAGTGTCAATAATTTTAACAACATTAAAGTTTTATTAAATTGAATGTAAAATATTAAAATTTATTGCTATCTATTAATATGCATTGTACTTATAATCACTGTATTACAATTAATACAACATTATGATAGAATTAGAGTATTATTATTTTTTGTTTACACCAAAATCAACGTTAATAATATTGCATAAGTTAATATACCTATACGACTACTAGCTTTACCTACTTAATTGGTAAGTTATAAGAATTATATAGTTTTACTTACAATCTAAAAATAATATTATTAAATTAGTTTGGAATTAAGGAATTGATTAAAATTATTTTTGAAACTAATCAATTACATAAATGTGTATTTGTGTATAATAATTTATAAATTATCGTGAAATTTATTTCATAGGCCCAACATTTTTCTATAACAATAAGAACAAAAATAGTTTTGACCTAGATACAAATTGAAATGGTTTGAGCTAGATATTCAATAATAAAAAATAAAGATCAAGGACAAGAAGGGAAAACAAAGCTGCATAGTTCGTATAAAATTTATATTAAACAATGGAGGGGGTGTGTGTTGTCTTTTTCAGAAACAGAAATGTTAGACGGACTTTAAATATTGTATGTATTACTGTATATATAAATGTATAATATAAGCATTAAACAATGTGATAACTAATAACTGATAACAACTGTTATTGTTTTGTTCCTGTAATTCTAATAAATAATGACTATTGTCTATTGTAAATTGTAATGTAAATACATTTCTTTATTCCTGAGCTGCGTAGTGTAGTAGTAACTACTAACTAGTAGACAGTAGTAGTGTGTGGCCTTTTTGACAATGAATAAAATGCGAACGATTTTCATTTTGGATGCAGGGGCTTTGTTTACCCTTCAGATATTTCAATTCTTCAGTCTGGATTATTATATAATGATTGTATTCCAGAATACTTATTATTCCAGATATCCAAACATTCTGTTCCTGATGCTCAACATAGTATTAATATTATTGTTCTACCACACTTTCCTCAACTGTTACAGAGAATATAAATATGAACGCAGTAAACAGACAGGAAATCTAGTCAAATGCAAAGCTAAATATCCTGTATACTTAAACTGCATCACCTGGGCCACATATGTGACCGTATTGTTTAGTAAGATCATGATGATTTTTTCCAACAATGTCATCTCGTTGGTTTCCAATGACGATTTCATGGGACCACAAATGCTCAAGGTAAAGTATTTAATGCCTATTGCACCATTGTAATATGTTATCCATGATCACCTACCTTTAATAATTTTTAAAATTTTATTTTTTCAGTTACTTATAGGTGTTTCTGGTATTGTATTTTATTTGTTAATCAGTGCTGAATGTTTTGGCCGGCAAATAGATCGTGATAAATGGCCAACAAATGCATGTATTATTGAGATTTTTGATTCTGTTGAAATGTTATCGATAGTCATAGCATCAAATGTTAATATTGGATACATAGAATATTTGATCTATGCTACTGCTTTTTTAAACTTTACGTTACCAGTATGGGTACTGTATGATGTTTCTCAACCAGACATTGATACCAAGCCAATGGGACTTCCTCAACCAGTATGTTATAATTTTATGCATTTAATGTTAGTTCAAATGCCTTTTTTGGGCATACGGTTGTATATGTGGATTGTGTTCAATCAAAACGCCTCAGTGTTCATTATGAAAAATCTTTTACACTTGCTATTCTTTTTGCATTCAATGTATCCATACATAAAAGAAATTTCTAAGAAAAACCAATATAGTCCTGAAACTTGTAACAATGAAAATACACCAGAAATTCTTTTGACTAATTGTAAGCCTGATGAACCTATAGCATTGCTCTAAATGATAATGTACTAAAGATGTGAATATGACCTACTCAGAAACAAACAAAAAAAATAATAATAATTAAACTTAAGTTATTGGTAACTTTTTAGTTATCACAAAAATGTCAAAACCATTTATGGTAATATTAATTATATTATTTTAATTTCTTAGCTTTTTAATGTATAAATTAAATTTTTAAAAGATTAAGTATGTGTTCAAAAATTGATTCTCAAAAATTATGCCAAATTTAATTAAGACTGATATTAAATTTTATTTTCCTATATAGTATAGTTTATTAAGGGTATTTGTTACCAATATGGTAATTTATATTTTTATTTAAAACTTCCTAACATATAATTTTGATTTTAACTGAGATGGAATTTGATGTGTTCATTTTTTTTTTTTTTTTAAGTAAAATATGTATTAGTTATAAGTTATTACTTATAAATGAAATTATATATCATTTTTAGAGTATTAAAGAAGTTTTTTTACATTTTATTGTAACTGTTTTCATTAACTTAAACAGCATTTTTTACTTAATAATAATATATTTTAATTATAAACTAAAACATATTTAAATAAAAAATATTTTATATTTAGTGTTTATAAGATGGTTTAAATTTAATATGTATACAAACTACTCAACCATAAAGACTTGTATTATTGTTATATCTTACATAATACTATTAAACAAATGTATATCAAAAAATTCTTTTAAAACTTATTTTTGAGTATTTCTCTAGATTATTATCATAAAAAATAAGTAATGGTAAATGAATATTGTGATTTACTTACATTGTAATTATGGTATTAAATAATTACTTTATGTTTAATATTGCAAATATGTTTATAAAGAAAGCTGCAACAAAAGTTTAGATCAACACGTTAAATTATTTGGTTCAATAACAAATTGGTATGCATTGAGTTATTAATTATACATAAATGAATTATAAATATAAATCTTTAATCTTCATTGGTGTATCTTAAATTTGCATATCACACTAACAATAATTATTTTGATTTTTTGTAGATATAACTTTACTTAAATGATTAATCTTGGAATAATACAGCTGATATGGCCATTAGTTAATGAATATTAAGATTGAAAGCTTACATAAATTATTTACGATTTTTTTATTTTTGGAATTTGATAATATTTATGTTTGACTAGAAGTGTGATCCTAATAGCAGATTTGTTATGAAATACAGTATATGTTTCTTGTCAGTGAACTATTAACTGTTGGTATAGTAACCATTATTGTGAATAATTAGTAAATACTATGTAGTAGTAAACTACATTGTGTGTTCAATAACACAAATTATGCCTAGACTTTTTATTTGATCAATAGTATTATTATCAATATAAATTGTTTTTTCTGACAAAAATTAACCTAAATTTACAACACATATTTAGATAATACCATTAATATTATAATAAAATTAATTATATTTCATTCTACCTTAACAATAGATATTTGGTTTTGTTTTATTATATTTTCTGGGTAAACAAGTTTTTTGTTTGCAATATTTAAAGAAAAAAGAACTATGTCTATAGTTACCTTTGAGAAACCTGTGCCCAAAGTAGCAGAGTCTGATTGGTATTATAAAATAACTGAATTAAAAGAATCTTGTGACCAACACAGACATTATACGTTTGTATTGGGAAATGAATCGCAAAAACTTAGGAATGATACAGATGTCACTACTTATTGGGGTACACATAATACCAATTCTAAGATCTTTGACAGGTAAGTATGGTTATTTTCTTTAACTGTATGTAATGAAATAGACAAATAACTTTCATATTTTCAGACGCCTAGAAATAACACGCTGGAAATATTTAATTGAATTATGTTATAAAAACTTGCAAAAAGAAATAAAAGACTTGAAAATTGAAAAAGAAAAAACTGAAAAATTTATTGAATTTCTTGACTTGAACTTTACTGTTACAAATCATTGTTTGAGTATAAGAGATGAAAGGGGTGTTACAGATTTGTGCCATGATATTGCATCTATTGAATTAAAAAATGTATGTGTTTTATAGTTATACTGCTGAATTATAATTACCTACTAAAATGAATGTGTAATTTATTATATTAAGAGTTTGTTTAGGAACAAAACACTTTGGAAAAGCTTAAAAATGTGTTAGTTGAAGTATGCCAAAATGCATGGGAAATGATAAATAAGTTGGAAGAGTTGGAAATTTATGTTGCTGAAGACTTAAAAAAAAAAAATAACACTATAAATATAGATAGCAAGTTATTAGAAATGACAAATGATTCAAATAATATTTCGCTCAAACCAGATTCACTAAGAGTTCTAAAAGAGTAAGTTTTTAAAAGTAACATGATGTTAAATACCTAGGAATTTAGTTTAAATATATTTCATCATGTTGTAGCTTAATAGTCTTTATATTTTTTTCTTTTTTCATTATCTTTTGTTTTTAAATGTATTGTTTTAAAAGTGACTAACAAATAACGGTTATAGTTAATAATCAATTAATTAAAAATCTACAATATTGGGTATTAATAAATTACAAATTATTTTTCTATAAATTATAACAAAACTTTAGCTAGGTATAATATGAGGGTACAATTATTGTGTGTGAAATGAGTTAATTTTCAAATATTTTCTGTTTTATAATTTAACAAAAAAAAGTTAATTAATAATTTGCAAAACATGTTGTTCTTATCATTTGATTGTGATAAAAATGTGTTTTAATTTTAAAGTTATTATTTTTTTATACTTTTAACATTTTTTTATTATTCTTGTAGTCATTAATAGTTTATTGTAGATATTATTGTATTAATGGTTTCTAGTTTCTAATATATATATATATATATTTATATATATATGTGTGTTATTAATAAATTAATATGTTAACAAATTACAGTGGGTTATAGGTAGGTAAACATTTTTAATAGATGGTGTATCTAACTCTTGTTAATATATTTTTTTAATTAAAAACAAAACTACCTAGTTAAAATAAAATTGTAACTTTATCAATGCCCAGTATTCATTATGAGTACCTAATTAATTTATTATAAATTATAATACATTTTACTTCAAATTATATAATTATAGTTTCAATACATATGAAAAATGGCTTCAACAATGCAATGATGTAAAACAAAGAATTGAAAATGATATAATTAGTTCAAAAAAATTGCGCGAAACTATGTTTGTACCTCAAAATAAAACAATAAATGATCTGTTAGCTCAAAATGACAAAGTAAATTATAGTCTCAGAAGACGAATTTATGATACAGAAAGGATTAAAAGTGAATTAGAATGGCAAAAATGGAATGTAAGGCAATTAGTATACCTAATGTAAGATTATTTAGATACTTACCTAATATAAAAATTATTTAAAGATGTTAACAGACAAGGATACATTTTTGAAAGAAATTGAAAATTTAGAAAACGCTTTGTACAGAAAACTGAATCCTAAAATGTTAGTTGAGACACGGTGCGAAGAAAGATTGTATAGAGCTGGTATTGAACTATGCCTTGATAAAACTACTATTGGATTGCATAAAGAACATTTTCAACTCAATAATACCACTAAAATGTTGAATGATAAGCTAAATCAAGCAAAGTAAAATACATTTGGATAATGCTAATATATAGTAAATTATTAAATGCCATATATTTGATAATATATTTAACTTTATAGGGCTATGCATAATGTTCTTATTGAACAAATAAATGTGCTTGATGAGCAATTAAAAAATAAGACTCATGCATTAAATGTTGACCAGAAATGTCTACAGTATAGAGTACAATTGGACAACCGGAATTGTAGCTAATCGTCTAATCAATTTTTTTTTTTTGCTAACAGGATAAAATATTATTGACATTTTAGACCTTGAGAAAATCACAAAAAAAAAAAAAATGATAAAATATTATCAGAGCACATATTTTTGGACAATTTCATTTTTGGGTAAACTCACAACTGTTTTTTTTTTCTAGTTGCATCTACCACACAATTTTTATTAATTATTATGTTTAAAATCAAAATATTCTTAGAATAGTTTATAGTACATAATTTAGCATTATCTTTAACCTATAGACTATAAGTAATATAAAAAAATACAAATTAATTTGTAACTTTACTTATGTTTATTAATTTAAACTGAATATAATTTTCTGTTTTGAAATTTATTTGGAAATAAATTATATAATATTATACAATTAAGATTTAGGTACAACAATTCTTGTATATTTACTCATTTGCTTGAATAATTATGATCTAATTCTTAAACAATTAATAGTGTTGTTATCTTGAAGTTTGGTAATATCAGTTCACTCTTATAGATAAAAATACAAAATTGTTTCTACTGAACTCAGTTAACTTATATTTTTCATTATGTATATATTTTGTGTTTTGCTATGATTACAACAGCCGGTATAACATAATCTTAATATTATGTGTTTTAGGAAAATAATATACTCACAGATATATAAAAATATTTTTATATATTTGTTATTATAAGTACCTTATGGCATATGGCTTATAGTATGGCATGAGTCATGACCGTATGGAGAGGACTAAGGATGTCATTATACCCTTTGACTTATTTTTGTTTGTCGAGTATTGCTTTATCTTGATTAATTATTAAAATCAAAATTAATTTTTATATATTTTTTTTCCGTGATTTTTAAATTCTCATATAAATTAAGTTTATTGATAACACTAAAATACATGGTAAGTAATGAAATCATATTTTACCGTTATCGCGATTTGATTTATGCCAAGATGTTACTAATAAATAATAATTAATAACGTACATAAATACATAATATATAAATTTTCTTACATAGTATGATGAATGATGTAATATTATAATTAATTAGCACTCTCGGTTTGAATTCAAAAATATATAATTTTCAGTGTTATTTCAATATGCATTGTATGAAAAAAGTCAAAAATTCATATCCCTCCTCTTTCAAAAAATTTAAACATTCCAGTGTGCCAATATTTTATAAATATAATAAAAGTATTGCTCTTGCATTTCTAATTTTATTTAATTATAAATGTTTACATGTACTATGTATGTACATTAACTCATTTATATATTATTATATATGAGTCGCTTGCACTATATAGGTAAGCTATGTATAATCATTGATAATTGATAATTATTTTTAAGTAAATTCAAGAATTTATTTTCAAAGTAATACTTTCTAAAAATGTGTTTAAATTGTGCAGAAGTCTTTCTTTGCCACTTCCCCCATATAATTACCAATCGCGACAGATATTGAAAATAGTTTCGATATTTAATACATAAAACAGTGGTTTTCAACCTTTTTAACAATGTAGCACACTTCTTCTACAATTTTTTTGCGGTACACCAATTCATATAATACGTGAAGCATATGTTAAAATACATACATATATATATATACAAGATTAACTCAATCAATAGATTTATCGCGGCACACTTCAAAGGCGCTCGCGGCACACCAGTGTGCCGCGACACACCGGTTGAAAATTACTGACATAAAATAATAAATACCATAGTATACTGAGCTCATATATTGCTCAATAAGTTGAACATTTTTATTTTTTATGATCGCATACTCTCAAAAATATACTTTGTTGACCCCTTAATTGTTGATATAAAATACTAAAATCACCGGTTACACCTCTGGTTATTAAAATTCTTATTCATACTATAGAACACAATAATCATATTGGTTTATAAACACTTAAAATACTTTTTTTTTTTTTTTTGCATGAGACTTTATTTTACTAAAATATAATTACAATCTACACACATTAAATACAATAAGTAATTTTGGTTGAGATTAATATGTACATACATAGTGAGACTATATAACAGACTGGAAGAGTAATCAGTAGTGCCACTCGACAGACTAAATTAAAAGATCTCAAGACGGAGCACTTGCCCCACCTAGAATTTTAAATTTGTTACTTAATTTTAATAATTTAATGTACTAATGACGAAACATAATAATATGTACTATATGTCTATATGTAAAATATATAAGAAAATTTTCATTAATTTTTTTAAATTAATTTTACCTCCCCCCTAGAAAAATGTCTAGGCCGTCTGGGGTCGTCCATATCTCTAGGTCAGGTTTTTCTAAGACGTCTCTGGGGGTTATCGGGGATTGAGAAAGAAGATATGCGTTTTATTAGTGAAAATACTTAAAATAAATTATTGGTTAAGTATTAATTAAAAGTGTTGTAGTCTTTCGACCTATATATATATATATATATAACCATAATATTATCATGGCTAAATAAAAATTATTTTTAGTATAGTTTTATATGTGGCTAAATAAATATAAATACACATACCTACACACACACACACACACACACACACACACACACACACACACACACA